CACTGATCTACTCCATCCTTCAGAAGAAGTGAACTGCACAAAACCACGAAATAGCCAGTTATTACACTTATAGAAATATTCAGTTGTTGAAATTTGTAGTGTTCAAGCATAATGGCTAACAAGAGCTGCATTATCAAGTCTCAATACCAATTCGAGCTCAGCCACTTCCAAACATATATTTCTAGACAGTGTGTGCAAAATGAAAGTCCAAAACAGAACAACAATATGCAGATTAATTTTCAGAATTTTAGGATAAATGTCAAACAACTAATTACACGGCTAAAAAGAGAATGCCATGAATAATGGATATTTGAGCAGCTAGGGTTTGGTAGATTAAAATCCACATAGAGAAGGAGATTACCTGAATCGCAACGAACTACGTCGGATTGTTTTAATCCGCTCTCACGCTCCCTGCAGAAGAAACAAATGCACAATATAACCCAAGTAGAAGACGAACGATGCTTTAAGCACTAAGGAGCCGTTTACTTACTCGTTTAATAAACGGTGCTTGTTTAGGAGCCGTCTTACTAAGCATTGCTTAGTAAAGAAGTGTCTATTTAGCCTGAGTTTTACTAACTTGTAACACGTTTACTTCATCAGCCCAAAGATACCTTATATTTTAAAATTACCTAAATAACCTTAAAACCTACTCCCTTATTTTATTTCATTTCTACTGCTTTATCCCTGTTAGAGAAAACAGTCGGCTCCCATCTCCATCGAAGAAGCTAAGCTGCTCCCATTTCCATCGAAGAAGAAACGTGTTGACCATCTCCAAGCCTCCAAGTATTACTTTTTTCTTCTTCCATTTTTCAGTCCGATTTGAACAAGGACCCTCTATCCCCTGTTCGAAATTACACACACATATACTCCGTATATAATTACTTTTTTTTATAAAATATACTACCTCCGTTCTCTTTTAGTTGCAACGTAGGACTTTTTTCACTATTCACAGATTCTACTTTGAATACATTTTATTTATTAATGTATTATGAGTTAAATTTTAAAAAAATATTTTCAAATTCCTCTCATAATAAATTTTCAAAATCTGATTTTTTTTAATTTTTTTACTAATAAGGAATGAAAGATATTAACGGTCAAACTTATGCGTTGGCAAGCGTGAAAAGTTGACTGTTGCAATTAAAAAAGAACGGAGGAAGTATATATATAATTACTTTAAGAACTTTTTTCCCTTCAAAACTAGCTATATGTAGTTATATAGATATATCTACGAGCTTAACTTGCTCGCTCTTATGAGAAGCTGCGGTGCTTTAAGCACTGTGACATGCTTTTTGGCATTTTAGAATCTTTTGAAGGAGCCAACAAAGGTACTCTTCATGGATCAAACTCAGTGTGCACAAAATTATTCCGATCATGAAAAAAAATCACATTCATCGAGTAACATGTATGAGAGAGAATAATCATTTTATTTTTAACGTGGTTTTATACATGTCGGTTTCATTACTTGTCTCACTCATTTATGTATTTTTATTTTTATTATGGTTCCATTTCTTCCTATTTTTTGTCTCACGCCTAAAAAAGGTACTACCTCCGTAACTCTGGAATCTTCCCAGTTTGACTCTTTTGGATCAAACTTTATAAACTTTGACCATTAATTATTCAAAACTCACATTATGTTATGATTAAAAATTTATTTTATATACCTCATTGTAAAACATATTATTTGAATGTTAATTTATTATGAATTTTATAAATATAGATATGTAGATATTTAGAGTCAAAGTTCAACTTAGAAGACCCTGAAAAGTCAAAATAGGAAAATCTTTATGTTACGGAGGTAGTAGGATGTTTCCCCTCTCCTTTGTGTATATATGAATGCAATGTACTCGTTGGATAATGGGGAGGTTACGGACTTACGGGGCGGTGAAACTACCCAACGGGGGGGGGGGGGGGGGGGGCTACACTTGCATGTATAATTGTCCGGTCGTCCCCGATCGGCCCCATTTACTTCTCTAATTTAAATGAAACAAATTAGTATCATGATATTGTTTTGTTTTGATACTTTCACTCTTATATGAAACTATTCGGTACCATATTATATGTAAATATTACAATCAGCTATAATAATCAAATTCTCAACCAAATATTCCATGTAACAACCAAAATTCAATGTGTAGAGACCACTCTAAAGTGATAATATGGATAAAAGTAATGCATAGTTGACTCTACGCATTGAATCTCAACTGTCACCTACGATTTTTTGGCTACAAATTTGTATAATATTGGATGGTTGAAACATTTATTTATAAATACGGGTTATGATACTTATTTGTTTCAATTAAGAGTTAAGATACCAAAGTCTAATCATATAACTAGTGAAGGTACTCTTTATACATTTTACCTGCACAATGCCATTAACCTACCTTCACGCAGTTATTTCTTCTCTTGAAGTCACAAACACAATTTCCAGACCATGATAGTGTGTCTTTTGTCTGCCTTTGTTACTCGTTTAGAACTGTGCATTGCCCTAATATTCCTTTACAAACTTCTTTCTTGCTCTAATTTTAGCCTCATCATCTTTATTCAAACACTTAGTATAATAGTATGTGATACATAACACGTATTATATTCAGGGGCAGATCTAAAAAATTTTGTTATTGGGGCACAAATGTGTTAGAGACGGTATCATTTACAATACATGTAAAAATGAGAAAATGTAATATTTTACGAAATACTCCGCATAATAATCAAATATTATTACAGAAAATACTACTCCGTATGAATTGCAGAAAAACTATAAATCTATTAACTTCTTTTTTGGAATGATTCCATATCATTTAAAATCCTTAAGACTTAAAAATTGTCCCAATTGGAATAATTGCGTGTAAACTATTCCTCTCAAACATGTATTTCTATTTTTCCATTATTCAATATAGTATTTATAACACAAATTAATTATTACTACGTACTAAGTTACATCTAAAACAAACAATCAAGTACTAGTAAAGTAATACTTTTCATTCAAAACCAACAAATCACAAACTAATATAAAAACTAATGAATCAAATTAAACATTTTTTAGAAACTTAGATTGAACCTTGTTATACTAAGATTAAGAAATACTACGTATAAGCGTAGGTTTTCAAAAAAAATACGATAGTATAAACGTAGAGGTGGGATCACATAAATTAGAGTAGAATCTCATTTATCTTGGCCTCCACCTATCAATTAGTTGTTGAATATTTGAATTTGATAACAATATTACAAGCAATATATACGTCCAGTTGGAAATTTAATGGGGGCACGTTAATTTTTTGTTGGGGGCATATTGTCCAAATAACAATAATTTTAAAATTTTTCAACGTATAATTAGCAATTTATTGGGGGCAAGTGCCCCCATTGTAACTAAAGTAAATCCGCCTCTGATATTTATATTCTTAAATATAGAAAGAAAAGATGTATTATTTTTTTATAGAAAGAAAAGATGTAAATTTAAACTAAGAATCCCAAAAACAAGGTAACCTCCACAGAACTCTTTCTTCTCTTTTGGGATAATACACATACTCTTTTGATTTTTGTTGTGATATTGAAAGTGAAGAGGAATTTATAGACAGAGGCGGAGCTTGGGCATTGGACCAGTAAATAACATATTTTTTTAGAATTATTATACACTTATACATAAAAGGAAAAATTGAAAATAATAATCTCAACTATTGGCAGTCCATGACCAGATATATATTACCTCCTATAACAAGTGAATTTTAAATAGAAATTAAGCGTAAAAATTAACGTTGGGATTATTTATAGGGATTACTTGCTATATCTCATCTCATCCACTTTAGAAACTAAATGAATTTATTTACAGAGACCATTATTGGCGGAAGGTCCCTAAAGTTAGGATTATTCTGGAATAATCAATAGTTGAGATTATTATAAGCGAACCGCCAATATTTGGGATTATTACTATCAATTTTTCCTACATAAAAAAGTTACACTAAAAAGAAAACATTTTTTTAAATTTGGGGTGGGTCATCGCCGCTTAGTTTGCCCCCTAGCTCCGCCCGTGCTTATAGGGTCATGAATTAGCTCCTCTTTCGTCAACATCATGTGTAAACTGTAGAAGATTCAGATTCTTGAAGCAATTTTAATTCACGATTAATAAGCTTTTCATGAAGCTCAGTAAATGTGATACAAGTTTCACGACCTTCGACAGCCTCAATGACGGGTTTGTATCCTTCATCAAGACCATCAAGGATAGCTTCAATGAAGTCCTCATGATCCAAAGGTTTCCCAAGAAGTGCTAATTCATCGGCAGCGTTTTTGATAAAATGCATGTATTCGGTAATAGTCTTGGAACCTTTGGAGTATTTTTTGAGTTGAGACTTGAGTTGTTTGATATGACCTCGGGAGGGTTGAGCGTATACAGAAGAAAGAGTATTCCATGCATCCTTGGTAGTGTTGGCACGTGTGATGAGAGAAACAACAGAAGATGTGAGGGTGCCAATAAGAGCGCCGAAAAGGAGTTTATCCTGACGAACCCAAGAGACATGAGCCGGGTTGGGATGAATGACACCATTGGTGGTGATAGTGACAGGGGGACACGGATGAGAACCATCCAGGAAACCATCAAGACCATAACCGGTAAGAATGGATTGTATCTGTAGTTTCCAAGAGATGTAATTTGTGGGAGAAAGTTTGATGACATTCCCAAGATTAACAGAAATGAGAGGTTTGTGAGGTTCCGAGCTGTTTGGAACGTGAACATCATTAGAGATGTGGCCGGAAGTAGTGTCGGTGGTAGGTGATGGTGGCGGTGAAGCCATGAATGGAGGCTCGAAGGAGAGAAAAAAAAATTAATTGATTTGGATCAAAGGCTTTGATACCATGTAGAGTTTGAGAGAGGGAATAATGTATATTCACACTTAACATTTGAAGTATACAAGAGTATATATAGGAGTACAAATAAGGAGATAAGAGCTATCTAACTAACTATGAGATAATTACATAAATGTTTATTAAGTACAAATATTAATATTATTATGATTTATCTCCAATATAAACAAACTCTTCTTTTGTCAAGTGTAATGACTTATTCATTTCACAATGGTGGGTGAGATGATGACTCCTAATTGCAGATTTGCAATTATAAATACCTCCAAGGTGTGAACATTTGGCAATAGTGATTGCAATCAAACCTGATTTAATTCGATTGTACTATTTTTTTATAATGACTATGTTGGATAGAGAAATGAAGTAACAAAGTAAATTCAAGTTATTTAAGGCATATTTACATCAACAAACAGGCTCTAATAATTACAGTTATGCAAATTTGCATATAATTAACAAGCCAGCTGATCTCTAACAGGAGTAATCTCTTCAAACACGGGCAGCCTTCTGGACCTTAACGGGCCCAACTCACTCATCACCCCATCAAGCCCACTAAAAAAATCATCATCCAGCTCTGGAAGACTCTGTAAGGAATATGTGGGCTGCTGCCGCATAAGCTCCAATTCGGACAGCAATTCTTCTATCCGGGTTATGGTTTTCGGTTCATCCGAACCCGGGTAGCTCCCCTTCCACATTTCTTCAAGGAAGAAACGGGCTTCGTCGTATCGGGATTGCTTGATCAAGCACTGGACCAGGTTACAGGCTTTGTTGCAGTCTGCATCAATCATTTGGGCCTTTCGGTACACCACTTCTGCTGTAATGTAGTCGTGCTTAAGCATGTAGGCCCAGCCCAAACTTCCCTGCGCCATTTTTACACGTATAACTGTTAGTAGTAGTATGTTACACGCAAATACGCAGTACCATTCGTCCCTCAACTTATCAGTTTTGCACTTTCATTCCTTAAAACGTTAACATTTTCTGTTAATGGACTTTAATTGTTTTGAACTTGATATTTCAACAATATCTTATGTGTTAAAAGAAAAATCACATTATAAAAACATACCATTTCAACTTTAGGGGGAATGCACAATATATGTTACAAAAATATATGGATTACACTGTGGCAAAATCAGAAATACTCCGTACTTGTTAAGAGGTAGTCAGGTAGATGTTAAACAAATCGTTATGTGTGGACATAGTATTTTAACATAAGAAGTACGTAGTATGAAGTATCTTTATAACTCGTGCATATTTGTATATGTGTATATGCACTAGAAAAAGTTGTGCGTGGGATGAGAATCCTTCTAACTCTCTATTGCTCCACCATTGATGTTACAATTATTGACTATTCTAGATTTATTGGTCATGTTGAACCGCAATTCAGCTCAAAATTGAAAAAGACTTTAATTATACATGTATAGAACTTTCTATTATAGTTGTATGCATGACTATCGGGCTGTTTGTTTTTCAGAGGATTCATGCCAATCCCCCGTTATATAAACGGGACCCATACGTAAAAATTCTTTGAAGTCGCTCGGTCCAAAAATAATGAATATGTTTCTAATATAAAAAAATGACTCAAATAGCTTTCGAAATATATTACTTGTTAAAAATAAAGTAAAGATGGGAAAGATAATTAGGATGCTTTTACTTGGAATGACTTCAATCCAGACTAGACTTAAACATAACAGACTTGAAATGCACAAAATCATACATTTATAAGACCAAATTAGCAATTTTAGTCCAAACAAAGACATCCTTAGGGAGGAGAAAAAACATACTAGTAATCTTGCACTCTCTTGCGTGACAGAAACTTGAAACTTTTTGCCATGGGAACGAGCAGTTTTGGTTGGTTTGCCATTGAAGACCTTGCCTTGGTATATCTTTCTTAGCTTCTGCTTTATTAACGTTATTTGTTCATCTACTTTTCCACATTTCTGCATATAGTAATTGAATGTGCCTTTAGATCGATTACACGGTGCAATTGACTCGTAAACTCCCATTAAAATGAGAACAATTTAGTTATATTTTTTAAAATTATACTTTTAATGCATTCATAAATAAAATATGATTAAAATACTCTCCGGTATTAAAAGTTTCATACTCTTTCCTTTTTGGGTTGTATTTAGAAGTTCCCAACACTTTCATTTATGGTAAGTTTACTCTTTATAAAATACTCATTTACCCGTATTTTATCTACTTTTTATCTTCTCTTTCATACTTTAACACTTTCTCTCCTACTTTTTGTACACTATTCACTACCCTACAACTTTACTTCTTAAATAACAACTTTGCTATAAGTACCCCCATTTTGTACCACATTTTATACCTCACCCTATTTTTGTGGCTCACAAAAGCCCAACACATTAAATGACTTGCTCCATTTTAATGAAGTGCATTTGTGAGCCACAAACATAGGGGGTGGGTACAAAATGGGGTACAAAATGGGGTAGCAATAGCATTTTTGCTTAAATAATGTGTTGTAGTGAACATTAAAACACAGAGGGAGTAGAACACATGAATGAATGATGTAAAACTACAATATTGCAATCAAGAATGGAGGTAGTATATTTCAAGCATCTTTTTCAGGAAAGAGTCCATTTCGACCAAATGAAACTAATCTTTCTTATGATATGAATGAATTATGACAACAAATAACAAAAGGCCTATAAATAAGCTAAGTTGCATACGATAAATTTCGTGTACTTTTAATTTCCTTTGTTTTTATTTTATTTTTGAAAGGAACTTTAAACTTTCATATATACTCCGCATTTGTTTTGCAAATGCTTTTCTGCTTTAAAAATCGATGAACATTTTGGCAGTATGATTTCACGTAGTATGTTTTTGTAGTTTAAATACATACTCCATATATTGTAGAGAAGACAAGTTATTTTTTAAATAGACTCGATCATTAAATAACCTTGTATAAATCCAGAAGGACGTTGTCAAAGGAATCCTGTGATTGGGTGGGGCAAAGAACTCGAAATGATTTGATGGCTTCAATGGCTTCTTCACATCGATCCAATTGTTTCATCACCACGGCCATGTCTTTAAGGGCACTTCCTACCCTATCCCCTTCATTTATGGCCTTCCAGAACCATACTATTGCTCCTTCCAAATCCTTTTCCACCAACTACACACATTTCATATAAAATTAGACTAAAACATACGATTTCACATAAAATTAGACTAAAACATACGATTTCACATAAAATTAGACTAAAACATACGATAGTACTTAGTATTATCTTTGTTTCTCTAATATTGAGACATGAGGCAGTAGTGCTAAAGTAAAAATTAGACTAAAATTTACTACCACGCGATTAGTAAGAAAGTAAGTTAATGTTGAGGCATGAGGCAGTTGTGCTAAAGTAAGTTTTTTTCTCTCTTCATTTTTTAGTATAATTTTTTTCATTTTTCATAAAGTCCACCTCTCGGATGTCTAAACCTTATCTAATTACTACTCCACTCAGTCTAACCCAAATTCCTTGATCCACCGTTGACCTTTTCCGAGCCTTTCTACTATGCGAGACGTTTATCCGCTGCCTCACGCTTAGATCTCACCTTTTAGAACAGTGGGATTAAGTCGTAATTGAATGGAAATTAAAGAACTAATCTAAAAATTAAAAGAAAAGAACAACTTAACAATTAATTAAGGTTAATTTAACTACATTAGAACATACCTGAGCATGTTTGGCTCGAACATAGGGACCATCACCAGAAGGAACCTTAGGAGTTGCATCGATTGTCATCTTTTCTCTTCCTGAACACCATTCCATCTCAACTCTACCTTAATTACTTACTCTTTTTATTTATTCACTTCATCTTCTCATGCCTCCCATCTGAATAAAAATATTACTACATTTAATTAATTGATTGAAACAATAATATATACACGTACTCCGTAATATAAAGTAGGATTTTCGATTGATAATAATTACGCCGTATTAAGTAGTCACAGTAATTAATTAATTATTTATTTATATAATCATATATTAGAAGAACTGAAGAAGATGGATGGATGAGAGTGCAAGATTTAGCTAGAAAAAAGAGAATGGCTGGGGTGCGTACGTAAAGTGATGAGTAGTTGCTTGCACTCTTAGCATGTGGGAATGAATGTGGGAGCTGCAGCTTCAAGTTGTGTGTCTGTATAAGTACTCATTTTGAAACCACACAGGGCAGGCCAAATTCACTAATGAATCTGGACTACTTCCCGTCCATGTTCGCCTCACTCTGTCCTAATTCTATGAATATGTTCATACATACATATATTGGATAAACTCTTGGTTTAATTATATTTTATTCAATGTTTAATTTGATACCTACAATATAGTTTGACACAATATATTTAAGAGAAAATTAGTTAGAGTAATTAATAGTGTAAAAAGAATATGAAAGATAGATGAAAAAAATGAAAGAGAAGATAAAAAGTGAGAGTAATTAGTAGTACTATGTATAGTAGTACATAGTATTTTTAAATGGGAAACTTACCAAAAAAAGAAAACGTGGAAAAAATTAAAATAAATCTAAAAAAAGAAAGTGTAGCAAACATTGTAGCAAAAACTAAAGCATTTCACAAAAATGAAAGCGTCCCAAACTTACATATGCAATATAAATATCTCGAACTTTATATAAAAAGTTATGTTAGCATTATGATCATAATGCTAAATATTTTAAATTGTGAACTTAACAACAAAGATTCACATTTTTGATAGACAAAATATATGGTCATGGTACTAAGATAACTTTTACATAAAGTTCGGGATATTTATATTACATATGTAAGTTTGAGATGTTTATCTCACACTCCTTTAAAGTTCGGGTATTTAATGCAACCTTGCATTTTTAAAAATCAATTACTTAATCCCTGAGTTTTTATCATAATTATCATTCTCACTGTTTGCCCCATCACATTAATATTTGTTAAATTAAATTTAATATAACTTTTAAATTTAATGAAAGTTGTCTATAAGATAAAATTTAAAAGTAAAATGCTTGCAATTTAATACTTCCTCCGTTCCTTTTTAGTTGCAACAGTCAACATTTCACGTTTGCCAATGCACAAGTTTGACCATTAATATCTTTCATTCCTTATTAGTAAAAAAATTAAAAAAATCATATTTTGAAAATTTAGAATGAGAAGAATTTAACAATATTTTTTAAAATTTTAATTTATAATACATTAATTAATAGAATATAGTCAAAGTAGAATATGTGAATAGTGCAAAAAGTTCAATGTTGCAATTAAAAGAGAACGGAGGTAGTATCATAATTATAAGTCATTGTTGTTGATCGATATTTTTTAACATATCTACTTGATTATGGAATAAATATTAAACGGATGTACTTAAGAGAGAAGACTTGTGAGTAAGATATCAAATATAATAATTTTTTATCTTTTTTATTTAAATAAATGAAATACTCCCTCTGTCCCCTTTTAAATGTCCCGTTTTACCATATTGGGATGTCCCTATTTAATTTTCTCATACCTTATTTGGTAAAGTTTGTGTGACTCAAAATCATTCTTACTTTATTCTTACTTTATTAATTAATATCAACCACACAAACCCACTTTTCTTAAAACTCATGTCACCCTCCACCGGGACAATTAAAAGGGGACGAAGGGAGTAACATTTAATCTTATTAAACTAATAAACTTTTTGCGAAGAAAAAAAAAATAGTAATAGAATTAATTAAAAAATCAAAATCTATCATACATACTTTAGGTCTTAGATAGATTGATAGCTTACAATTATTCAGACAATATATTGAACATTCTATCTTTTAGGATCGTTATTAATACTGGACCAATCTTTTAGGTCATGGATTGATAAATTCTTTTTGGGAAAATCACATATATGGTCTTTCAGTTATCCACGAAATTAAAATCTCAGACCTGTATTTCTGATATTGAAAATATCACCCCTCAATTGTCCAAAATGTTGTAAATGTGGTGCTTTTGAGGGGTGAAATATACAATGTGGGCGATATTACATTTCACTACTTAAAGAATCACATTTAAAACAATTTGGACAATTGAGGGGTGACATTGACAATCTCATAAATACAGGTCTTAGATTTTAATTTCGTGGATAACTAAAGGACTATATATGCGATTTTCCCTTCTTTTTTCTTCTTCTTGGTATTTATTCAAAGCAATGTCATTGAGATTAATTCAGGCGGATGAATTACAAACAAGACCAACAAATTTCAATCCAAATAAAAACATCCTACGAATGTTTTTGCTTAGATTGAAATTTGTTGGTCTAGTTTGATCTATTTAAATCCGATCTGATCCCTATATATTTTATATGAGTTAATTATCAAAATAGGACTAAAAGTCATTCACTTTACACAAATAGGACCAAAAAATAAACCATGTTTCCATAGGACTAATTATGTTTGTCTTGGACAAATATACCCTTATACCTATTGGAATGTTTTAATTCATAATAAAATAATAAAAAAATTATAAAAATTCGTAAAATATACCAAAAAATTAATAAAAATATTTTGAATAATAATAAATTTTAAAAAAAAATTTAAAAAAAAAAAAAAATTAAAAAAAATAAAAAAAAATCAAAAAAATATTTTTTTGTCACCGCCGCCTATACCGCCCCAGCACCACCACCTCTAGTCATTTGGGGAAAAAATGACAAATTTATTATGAATTCCATATTTTTGGCATAATTCAAAATGATTTAAGATGGAAGAAAAAAATGTTGGCATTCTCAAAGAGAAATATGCCATATTTTTGGCATTTTCCGAAAAAAATGGAAGTTTGTAGGAAATATGACATTTTTTTAACGGTCGGAGGTGGTGGTGCAGGGAGGCGGTACCACCACCTCCTGTCACCGGGGTAAAAAAAATGCCAAAAAAATTATGAATGCCATATTTTTGGCAAAAGTCAAAAGGATTCAAGTTGGCAGAATGAAAATGTTGGCATTCTCATAGAGAAATATGCCATTTTTGTGGAATTTAAAAAAAAGTGGCATTTTTTACACTGATCGGAGGTGGTGGTTCAGGGAGGTAGTACAGGCGGTGGGAAAGGTATCCATGTTTTTTTAATACTTTTTATGGAGTTTTACTATTTTTTTATTAATTTTCAAAAAAAAAACTAAATTTTTTTTCTTATTTTTTATTTTATAAAAATTTTATTAATTTTTTTATTATTTTTTTATGAATTATTGAAATTTTTTCGAATTTATTATGAATTAAACATTTAATTATGAATTTTAGCTATCTTTTACTAATATTTAAAGGAGGGGTAAGAATGGAAGGAAGAAATGAGTATGTTTCCAATATGACAAATATGGTCCTATTTTGGAATAAAAAACGTAGCAAGTCCTATTTTGAGTTTTTGCCATAGTTTTAGTCCTATTTGAAGTAATTTTTAATTTTATATCTGTAAAACTTTGGCCTTTTTTGGACTATGTTTGGCAAGCCACTTCAGCTAATTATTTTAAAAGGAAAAGCATTCGAGTAAAAAGTAAAAACATGTTTACTAGAAATGCAAAAAAAAAAAGTGAATGAAGAAGCACCGAAAGAGTGGCATCGAACACTGAACAATCCCGGGGAGAATAGTTGCGGAGGAGATGAATTACATTCTGAGAACGTTGACGACGAAGCAAGAAGTAGATTCCACCATCAGAGATACCGTCGATAAGGTTCTTGTCCTCCGCTTTGGCCGTGCATCGGATCCCGTCTGCCTCCAGCTCGACGACGTCGTATGCTCTCCACCCTAGCCTCCCCTTCCATCGCAATTTCATTTTTCACGCAATCTCACGACCACTTTTACCCGTTTCATTGTTTCTACTGATATTAATTTCATGTGATATAAGACCATTACGATTTGTTTGTTTGAGACAAAGATTCGAATTTCCCAAGGATTGTTAGCTGACTTAGCTCTGTATTTGGTTGATGGAATTCTTGTGCGCAGCTTTATAAGTCCGCGGCGGAGGTTTCCAAATTCGCGACGGTGGCTTTAGTCGATTTTGATTCCGAGGCAGTGCAAGTTTACGTGAAGTATTTCGACATCACTTTGATTCCTTCCACTGTTTTCTTCTTCAATGCTCATCATATGAAGATGGATTGTGGGTAGGCCTCCAATTTCAATCTAGCTCTCTTTGATTTTTTTCAAAAATATACTCATGTGATAGATTGATGGTAATTGCTTGTATTAGAAAGAAGCTACATTTGCTATTTTGCATATACTCTTCGCCTCTTCTACCAATCTACCATGTGATCCGCATAAGATTACAGAGGTGTTTGGTTTTTGAAGGGATATGAACTTTTGAGAATCAAATGCTTAAGAAGTGTGCGTCTCTGGTGCGCAGGACTGCCGATCATACAAAGTGGGTAGGAGAATTTAAGACAAAACAGGACTTCATTGATGTTGTCGAGGTAAGATGTGATTGACTGATTTCTGAACTCCCTTGTATCCTCCTAAATCAATTTCATTTTACAAAAAGTTCCTGCTGAACCTTAATAATAATGCAAAGTGATGATAATGAAGATGAGATTTGAGTCTCTCTTGCTTATACTTCAATATGTTGATTTTCCATACACTTAGAACCCCAAAGTAAATGTTCTGAGTGGAAGTTGTTTGCTAATCCGTTTGCACTGTTTACTGCCCATCTATGCTAATAATAATCTAGATGCATATGGCTGAAGTTATGGTTGGGATTTCCAACCCAAGACTCCTAAATCAATCGGAATAGAATGGTTAAAACTCAGTTCAGTTTCTACATACGTGCTAATGATTTATTAATGGTTTGGTTCGGTTCTTGTTAAAAAAACTAAGAACAAATGGAATCAATACATGAAAGTTTTCTGGTTTTCTTCTTGGTTTTCAATACTTGAATGGTAACTTTACCAGGTTGCAACTTTGCATTTATTTTATTTAGACTTTCGTGTATTTACATTCAGCTTTGCTAAGAAGTAAGAATGTAAGACAATGGCATGTTTGCAGAAATTGATATTTTCGAAGTACTTAAGACAAGCACAGATTATTTTACTGAAATCAATACTTTTGTGAGTACGAACACAGCTTTTAAAAAGGGTTGGCAGGAAATGGCAAAAGTTATTTTAACACCAAAACATGAAAACAATACTTTTATGTTTATTTAAGAAAGTATCAAATGGGTGACTACTAAGGGTCTGTTTGCAACAACTTCTGCTTTAAAAAAAAGTGCTTTTTTTAATGAAATGGGGAGAAGTGATTAAATAAAAGTTGACAGTGTTTGAGAAAAAAATGATTTTGAAAAGTAAAAATTGGTGGTGTTTGGTAAAATAAGTGCTTTTTGTGTAATAGAAAATGTAAAAGCACTTTTGACACGAAAGCCGAGAAAAATAAAAGTTGTGGTGTTTGGTAAAGAAGTGCTTTTTTAAAGCCAAAAGCCGAGAAGTGCTTTTTTTAAAGCGTTTGCAAACCAACCCTAAGAAGTGCTTTAATGTTAAAATTAGAAAGCACTTATACATGAACTTGTTTTTTTAGGTATACTTGCTTTCTAGAGGAGTGTACTTTTTTGTCTAAAAAAAGAAATGTGTGGGCATACAAGTTTTTAAGCGGAAAAATCACCCTGCATACTCTTTTTCATTTAAGCATTTCGATTTTCAAAGTGCATATATGGGAAAAAGCTTGTGATGAAAGAGCACATATTCCATAAGTTATTTGCATTTTTTGGAGTGGGAACATTTTCAAAGGCGCTCATATTACTCCACTCTGGTGACTGGTGTCATATGTACATATCACATATGGGAGAATTTGAATGACTCAGGGATTATTTTGTCTACTTTTGGATTGGTAGGCGATATATAGAGGAGCAATGAAAGGGAAGCTGATTGTAACCTGTCCCCTTCCTCCAGAGCAGATACCAAGGTTTCAGTTGCTGTACAGAGATGTGTAACACTTATATAGTAGCTGTACTCCCTCTTTTCTAATATTTTTTTTCTTACAATTTTTCTTCTTCTAATTTATATATATTGATGCTTGTTTTTATTTTTAAAAACAAATCTCATGTCCTTCCATTATTATAGCCATGGTCCAAGGGTCTGTTTTAGAATCAAAATCATAAAACTAGGAAAATCGATCAGAGGAAAATTGGAATTTGGAAGGATGAAAACTTAGGAAAAAAAAGAATATTTATTTTTCTGTTTAATTGGAATGTTTTCGTTAAATTAATATTTTATGAAAAAAAAAACTTGGAAATGTTCTTTAATGTCCCTAACATATTCTGTGATTCAAAGATACGGGCTGTAAATAATGAGGACCAAAATAGAGAAACCTGCAGTGGTAAAGTAGCATGCACAATTCACAACTAGCCAACTCCAAGGTACTGAAAGTCTGAAACTATTATCCATTTAGTCTAAATGATCTGTAGTAGAGCGCAGACATGTCCGCTCATGTTTATTTCAAAATCCACCAGACACAAAAACTGAACTATATATTATGAAACTCGTAACAGCATTAAGTAGTAGTCTCCTCGGAGAGCAAGTTGCCTCTTGCGATCACCGCCCTAGCATTGGAGATACCATCAACTTAATCCCCTCTTTCAAAAACTGCAGCAGCACCCATCCCTGAACCTGCAACTCAAAAATGATTGATAGAGAGGTAAGGGTTGATTGGCAATGACAAAAATGTCCCTCACTCTACTAGGAACTGAACCGAGTGGGTAAATCATCGGGACTGGAACGGACCAGTTACTTGGTACTAGATGATCCGAGTATGGTTATGGTTTCTCTAAAATAGGACCGGACCGGTTCCGATACCAGTCCCAGATTTTCTAATAGGGTATAAACTGGACCAGAACTAGTCTGATCCAGAATTCCAGTCCCGGTCCTGGTAGGGAGGGTGTTGACCGGGAATTGGCTCGGCTCCACTCTACTCTCAACTAGACTGGTTTAGAAATGTAAGCACTGATGCAGTGGCTTCGAATTACCTATGCACATTGATATCACACCAAATCGACAACCTCTTCCGCGACGCTTCATCTCATGGAGTAATGTAGCAACACACCGTGCACCTGACATAATATTATAACACCATTTGTGGATAACAGTTTACTTCAGTTCAACAAATATGACTCATGTACAGACAGACTCATTGAGTGGGTATTGTTACCTGTTGCTCCCAAAGGGTGGCCAAGAGCAATTGCACCTCCATTGACATTCACCTTCTCAGGATCCAGGTTTAGCTTCTTTTGGCAATATACATATTGAGATGCAAATGCCTGCAAAGAAACACATGAGCGGTAAATCAAAAATTGAGAAATGTAGATAAAAAATGAAATGTTTTGAGATATTTTGAAGAAAGTACCTCGTTGATTTCATACAAACCAATATCACTTGGTTCCAGGCCAGCAGATTTTATAGCAGCTGGAATTGCTACAGCTGGGCCTATCCCCATGACAGCAGGATCCACTCCTACCGCAGCAAAGCTCCTGAGTTTTGTTTGGTTTTCAAATTAGTACAAGTAATATTTATTTATGAAAAACATATAATTTCCCACTTCACACTGTCCCATGGATTTTATTTTCCAATCATCATGAACTATATCTACAAGCATAATTTTAGTTCCATTAATTTTTAATATAACAGAATAGGTTTTAGATCATTAGAGCCATTCAGGTCTTATTATTTCAAAGCTCTATTCAAGAGACAACAATAACCTGAATACACCAAGAATTGGGAGCCCCTTCTGAAGAGCAACACTTCTCTTCATAAGAAGAACTGCTCCTGCACCATCACAAACCTGACTAGCATTTCCTGGAATGGATCAAGTCAGTTCAACATAAAATGTGTTACTGTAAAGTCAGAAACTAATTGGGGTTATGCAGAAGATTGTAAATGGGGTTAAATTATTACCTGCAGTTGTGGATCCATCCTTCTTAAAAACAGGCTTTAACTTGGCCAAGTCCCCCATATTTGCATTTGGACGAAAGCCTTCGTCAACAGATATCACCACCGGCTTCTCTATTCCAGACGAAGGGTCCACAATCTGCTTTCCCCCATATAACAAATTTTAATTATTAGAAAGCTTCAGATATCATAGTGAGTGCAAACTCCATAGTATACAATATAATGTAGTATTATACTATCAAACCTTTGTAAAAACAGGGATAATTTCGTCTTTGAACTTCCCTGCTGCAGTTGCCGCAGCAGCTCGTTGATGAGAAACCACCTAATGACAAGAAAGAAAGCTTAAGTTGTAAGCTCATTTTGCAAACAAGTCCCTATGCAAGAGAAATACAAAAAAAAAACTAAAAAAGAAAGGGACAAGTGAGACTAAGCTTACAGCAGCATGATCTTGTTCTTGCCTACTCACTCCATAACGTTGTGCAACATTTTCAGAAGTAATGCCCATTGGTAGAAGACAATCATTGGCTTGTGGGATAGTCTTTACCTTTTAGAAGCACACATTCATACAGAGTTTTCAATAATGGAAGAACAATACACTGAAATTGTGATAATTCAGTGTGTGTTGGTGTGTTCTGGGGTGGGGTAATTTTTTAAAAATTAACATTTGAATAAAAGAAGTCTGGTTTAGTACTCTTGGATTAACAGTTTCAAAGAGTCTGATATTGTCGACTGTCATGCTCTCTAATCCTGCCCCTATACCTGAACAAAGCAAATACGTGGTATAAAATACAACCAGTTATAGAAAATGTAACATCTCAGAACATCAAATACATAAACAGAAAATATGTAGTAAAATTGAGAGAATGATAGATATTTTTGGATATAAGTAAAGCTTAAAAAGGAAATTCTTTAAACTCAATAAATTTATTTTTACTATTATAAAAACAGATAGAAATTCAAGGCTTCAAGCATATGAAAAAAGTTGACAAATTTAAAGCATGATTGACTTTCACTTGTATATTCAACGGTAAAAGTCAAACAAAAGAAAGTAACGCGCTTAGAATTTCTTTCCCCTTTCCCTAGCTTTTTCCATGACCCAAAAATACCGGATCTGGATTCTCTGCCTTGCTATAGCATCAAGGTAGGGTGCGTGGCTTTTACAGCCACGCGATTCAACCAAAACAGCCCCACCACCTCTCCTCCCCTACCGTCCCTGCCGTTGGATGCCGCAAGGCACCTCTGCCGCACGGCAGAGGATCCAAATCCAAAAATACCGCAAAGCAAACTTAGAAATTTTACCTATATCATAAAACCCGGCTTTTATGGAAGCTGCTACATCCGCTACCGCTTGAAGACCAGATGAACATTGCCTGTTAACAGTTCTTAGCGGAACAGTCTCTGAAAAGAAGATGACTATATTGATTTAAACTATATAGATATTGTATATATTGAAATGGGGGAAGCAACATTGTTAAATTAGAAAATATAGTTCTGCCCTAAATCTGAACTTGCTCATATATTTAGCTACTGGAAATATTAAAATGATCTGTCAAAAAAAGGAAATATTAAAATGAAGAGAGTATAATAGTACCAGGAAAACCAGCATAAAAAGCAGCCATTCTACATTCAATAGCCCTTAGAGAGCCCTTAGCCAAGACAGTGCCAACAACTATATCTCCCACTTCAGCAGGGTTTAGATTTGTTCTTTCAACAACAGCCTGCATTAGAAAATCACAAACATGTATACTAAATCAACTAATATTCAAATGCAACCCAAAAAAACTAATCTTTTTTATGTCAATATATTTTTGTATAAATATTCAATGAAAAATGAAGTGGTCATGGTAGGCAGTTTACCTTGAGAACAGGAGCAAGTATGTCATCAGGAAGGGTATCTTTGAATCCACCGCGTTTGGATTTGCATATAGCAGTTCGATATGCACTGAAAAACACAACAGCTTAACCATTTAAGCATTTACAGTTAAAGCTAACAGTGAAAAGGTAAAGACAAAATGAGAATAAACTTGAAGATGAGAAACTTACGCCACAATGACAACATCGTCTCCAGAAGCAGGAGTTCTGTTATAAGCAACATCATTTCCTGCTAAACAAACCGAAGACTACCCAAACAAAAAGAATGGATCAATTAATTATACAGAATAATGAAATCAAGAACTGAACAATGTGAGGAAACATGGAGGAACTGAATCAACTGATAAATACTGTATCTTTTTTCCAAAATATAAGAACTTCATTTGTAAAGGGAGAGCCTTTTTAGAGATGGAAGTCAAAGGGAGGGGAAAAAAGTTCATGAAATCTCTGACTTAATGATGCAAGATGTTGTAAACCAGTGAAAATCATCTGAAATACTTAGCATAAGTGATATGAAAAGCTCTTACAGATAGAGAAGATGCATTGGAGTGATCAGGAAGAGGAACAGGCGGCTGAAGGTGCTGAAGAAGAACTCTCTGTCTGTTGATAGTCCTTTCCATTGCAATTTCAGCCTTATTTTCCTATACTTGCGGGGCTGCCATGAGTCCATGACAGCTATATATATACATATGACTATGCAAAGTGTAGTTTGGTGGACACTATGAGGTACCCAAAATTAATTTTTGTACTAGCCATGTTTTCACCAAAATTTTCTCATTGTCATTTATTTAAAATGGTCCGATTAAAAACTGAAACCAAGCCAAATAAAAACATTTCATATGTTAAGTTATTTTTTTATTTTTTAAAATGGAACCCCGAGTTTTATACTTACATTACTTTATAAGTTTTAAGTTTTTCAGATTATTTATTGATCTTTCTAACTCTTACTATTTAAAATTTCTTACGCATCATTTTTAAATGGTTTGAGAATATGATGGAATAAAACAAAATGTCTCACTAAACTGTCTGCGCTTCTTTGTTATGAAGCAGCAGTCAGTCCGTGCAATTTTGGACGCGATTTTCACTATGGGTTATCCAGAAACAGTCTCTCTGTGCTTTAGTACGGGGTAAGACTGCGTACATCCGACCCCCCTACCCCACCGTAGGTGGGAGCCTTTGCGGCACTGGGGTAAATGGAAATGATGAAAATGATGATCATTTTTAAAAGGTTTATATATCTAAAATTAACTTTCCAATTTGACTTTTAAAGTCAGATTTAGCTCACGTTTGAACAATATTATTTAAAAGTGCATACTGATAAATTTGTATGGAGTAATAGATGATACGGAGTATTCAATAAATTTATATTAAAATAAACTATTGATAAGTATAGTTTGTTACTACATAACAAACTATAAAATTTGGAAATAAAATCGTTAAGCTTTATTAATAACATCCTATTCATGTTACTAATTAATATGATTTCTAGTAAATTAGAGCGCATGTAGTTAGTAAATCTTGAATTATGAGTTTACATATAAAATTAGAATCCATTTGATAATATTGAAATTGGTTGAATCTGGTAGAATACACGTAGTATTACATATAATATATAAATTCTGTAATATATATTTAGTAATTTAGATTATATTTTATTAATAAAATAAAAAACATATATGAAAAATAATTAAAATAATCTTATTTGAAAAATTCAACCATAAAAGTATATAACATGAACATTACTTAATAATTATTAATATAAGAATTCGTAGCATATGATCCATTTATGTAGGCCATGCAATTATGCAAACCACATGGATATGTTTTCTTCTTAATTATACTTGTATGAGATAACCTCTTGTATACACATCTACCTACGTATGCATAATAAAAAGTAGCAGCAAAATATTGGGTTCTTCTAAATTATATCTCTTCACATTTTGTCTTTTAGATTAAATATTAGTTTAACCAGTTCTTTTAGATTAAATATTAGTTTTATGACTTTATCAGAAGATGATAAGTCGAAAATATGACTTACTAGTTACTACATACAATTTACAAACACACGTGCTCTTAGTTGTGGAGGAAGTCGTATTACATTTATATTATAATTAAAATTTTGATATTTAAAACATGAGGGTAACCATTATGAAGGATGCAATGAAATGCACATAAAAATGTGCATATTGACCGAATTGAATAGAGGGGTATTTAGACCGCCGTACATCCGGAAATTAGGAAACACAAGCAAACCTTTGTTCAACCCTTTGTCCCTCTTTTGCTAAATACTTGGTATTGTTTTGATGAAAGTCATGGCTACCAAATATTGGTAACTAGCAATCCAGTGCAGATTACAAATACAGTATTTTCGGTTTTCTAACATTAAATTAATAACTTTGAGCTAAAAAGTAATTCTATTATTGTTTTTTGATTGATAAGAAAAGTCAGCCCAAACAACCATTTCACATAGGGAAGATAGGAGGATAATTTAACCTGACTCGAAAGATACACGCACCGAACTGATGCGGTAAAAATGGGGAAAACCGCTTTGACTGGGTAACGATTATGAGGCAGGGAATAACTGATATATGTAAATGGGTAATGAGGCGGGCGGTTATGGGTTTATACCTACCCACCCCGTTACCCGCCCCTTTTAATTTGGACACAGTTATTTGCACCATTACCCGGCCCCCACAATTAACTTATACGGAGTATGAAGTATATTTTAATATATTATGTATTTATTATTTTATATGTTCAGTATATATTAGTAGTAGTACATTAGTATATATATATGACACTCAAATTGTACACGACATTTTACACGCCGGTCAAATTGTCTGTATATAGAACAATTTGACCGGCGTATTGTGAAGAGAACCGTTTTTCACACAGACAAAGAAAATTAAAATTGTCTGTGCCACAGACAAAAATGTTTGTGTCAATGGCGTGTACACGATGCGTCATTGAATATTAAATGAGTTTTTTACAAAAATATTACTAAAATAAAACTTATTTACATAAATATGATTATTCATTACTACAACATGATGTTGTGGTAACTTAAGTTCAAAACTTGAACATGAATTACTATAATTTTATTACCATTCTAGTAACTAGTCATATTTTTGTAAATCATCTTTATTTGGTCATATTTACGTAATTATTTCATATTAAATTAAATATACTCTTATTAACTATTACTTTGAAACAATATTCGACTAATCAACTATCCTTTGCAATTCTCAGGAGTTGGTGTTCCAAATTAAAGTTCACTATTTTAGATTTTGAATTTTCAATATCATTCATCATCTTTCCTTTGTCTTCTTCTTCATTATCGAATCTCTTATATTTATGACCAAGAATTTTCTTACTTCTAGAGTTAATGAAAAATGTTTTTCATAAGTGTTAATTTTTTCACATAATGGTTATTTGACTTTCGTGGTTTTCTTTATGCTTTTCCCACCCTATAACCTTTCATAGTACTCACGTATGAGTTTTAAGTCCAAATATTGGCAAGCTTTACTCTAATTAATTTTCTTTAATTTATGTAATTGCTAAGAATTTTGTAAAGCTGTATTGGGTGATTATATTAATTTGGATTGGTTGTTCCATCATTTTCGATGGAGCCAAAGGCTCATTGTTTTTGACTTGAGAATATGATGGAATAAAACAAAATGACTCATCATGAGTCATCCGGATATAGTGTTTCAGTGTTTCTGTGATCTAGTACAAGGGTAAGAATGCGCACATCCGATTCCCCTTACCCCATCGTAAGTGAGAGCATTTGCGGCATTGGGATAATGTTGTTGTTGTTGCTATAATTTATATCAAGTTTTAAATTTAAATTATGAGATTTCTAAAACACTAACTACAAGAATACATAAATCACAATATTAGAAGTACCGGTTTTATTATGTTACTTGTATACATTAATGTTTTTAGATTTACATATTGAATGTTGGTGGTATATAATTATTGAATTTTTGGAAGTTATTTTTTTTAATTCATATTTAGATTTTACTATTGGGACATGACCTCATATTTTGATTCTAAGCATATATATAATTTGTGGGTATTAGGTTCAAATGATTGTAACTTTTTATGATGTTTTAAAATATTTGAATTGAGGTGCTAATTAATATTTATTTTTACTTTTTAGGAGGTCAATGATTAAGTACAAAATCATCATTCTAGGATATATACTGTTTGGAAAAATAATATTATCTTTTAATAAAACGGTTACCCGCGGAAAAAACCGTTCAACGTTCTAAACGACACAGTCGGGGTAAAAAAATACAACGGGTAACAGAGCGGTTTCAAGGAAAAAAGTTATCTAACAGGGCGGGTACGAGTAATGGTGCACCTGGACCAGAACCTCCTCGTTGCCATCCCCAATTTCACATGCGTTTGACTTTATTTTTACATTTTCAGGCTTTTATCAACCTATTTTCAGGGCTCCGAATGACCTCATAATGACTTAACCATATATAATCAATGGAGTTATGGGGTGAGAGAGTAAATGCCCATATCCGACTCCGAAATTTATTATTAATACTAGCGTTTACTCGCGCAAGACACGAAATTATTTGTCCACTATTAAAGTAATAATTTTTGGGAAGAATCATTACATGCGTAATTGTTATGAGATCTTTCCTCAAATTATGTTTCCATCGTTATAGCCAAATTTCTCTAATTAAAAGTTCGTTTGGTGACACTATTTTTCAGCTTGTCAACTTTATCAGTCAACTTTTTTTACCAAACATGTGACTTTTAGTTTCGCGCGCTGAATTGTTTGATAATCAAAATAAGTTAGTCTTAAATTACTTTTTTGGTTGAATTGACTGAAGTTACTATAGAGGCCATTTTAGCTATTTTTCATATAATTTTTAATTTTTAATTTATTTTATTAATAAAATATATTTAAATATGATGTATATTTTTTTCATAAATGAGGAGAATTAGTCAATACAGCCACTTCAGCTAGAATATCATAAATTTTAGCAGAATTAGTCCATTTAGCCAATTTCGGTGGTGTTACCAAATGAGTTTTAAATTTTCAATTTTATTATGAAGAAAATGTTTTTTTGCTTGAATTGATGACCATCGCATGTTTTAGTGAGTACACAAATAATGAAATAAAGTAGCTAATACATACGAGGTACTACGTATACTAGACTACTAGTGCACAAAATAAGTAAAAAGAAAAACATTTAGTCTACTTTTTTTTGGATGAAAGGTAAGTATATTAAAAACACCCAAAAATAACATTTTACAATGTATCAAAACTATCTAAGCTAGTACGAGAACTAACAATATAGTATCCAACCATTGAAACCTCCCCCCACCCACACCGAGGGGCGGGCAGGGAGAGAATTTTTATGACAAAGTCCAAACGGCACGGGACAGACCCCGGCTCGTATCAAAACATGTCAAGTAACCAAAAACGGGCTGGCCCATGAAGAGCCAGTCCAAGAACCCGAAGGCCCATCAAAAAACCAACAGTAGCATGTGCCTCGAGTCCAACAACATCCCACCAAGCCAAGGCTCCAACCCACATTCCGACGGAGCATGCTCCAATCCATGCATCAGCTAAAGTCCAGCCTAGAGACTGCAACATATGGGCCCAGGGCTTCGTACCAGCCAGCAATCAAACCAAAACAGCAAAGCCCAGCTTCCCGTGTCAAAGATCCGTGAACCAATGGAGGAGGTCTAGCATTGTCCGCAGCAGTCCAAGCCCGAGTCCAGCCCAAGTCCACAGCAAGCTCCCGCGGGCTAGGGTTGTCCATGTTCCGGGTCAGCCCAGACCCGTCCATCGCCACGGAGGAGCGTCGCAATGTTGAGCGGCAAACCAAAACCCCTGACCCACCAGACCCCCCCCCCCCCTCCATCCCCACCACCACATCTGGGTTCCGGCTTCCCCCAGACAGTCCGGCGGCCAGAAAGAAGGGCAAAGAACCAACCGGAG